TAAGTGCTGTTGATATCATCCTAGAAATTTCAATCACTAGAGCAGGAATAGCTTTGGAAATTATTGATGTCTATAATAAGGTAATATGTCACAGCAACAATGTCATTTTTGTATGAAATCCAGCCTGTGTAGATATTAAATGAAATGAAATGGGAGATAAAGCAGTCAAAAAAGCTTTCCAAAATAATTCAGAAGTCATTGAGAAAAGAGAATTTGGTCAGTCAACAAACAAAAAAGCAAAGCCAAACAACTAATTCTGGCAGCTGAAGGTTGAAGAAGGGTAAGTTAATTTACAATACAAGTAATAATCTACTTCTGTGCCCAGTTACCAAACCCCACACAAATGGCAATAAATTCATGCCCAAGAACCAGAGGCTATTTCTTCCTACGTACTGTAAGGCAGACTAATTACACCTACATGCTAGAATGCTTTTTCTTATATCTAAGTCCCTTTCATATTCCTTTCCTACAATTAGCATTCTCATCCAAGACTGCTTTAATGTAACCTTTTTAGATTTAGAGTTCGATAATACTTCCCAGCTTGCAATTACTGGAGTTTAAACCATCTATTAAGTCATACTTCTATATTTTTTCAACTAAAGTAAAATATCAATGTCATTAAAGAAAGCATATATTGCAAATATTAATGTAATTAAAGAAAGCATACACTGCAAACTACATGGTATTAATACTGAATTTACCTGAATTCAAGCTACTGAAAACCCAGTAAATAAAAAAAGGCTGCCCAAAGCACTGTCAACGTAATAGTTAGGGGAAAGAAGTCATCACTAAAATATAAGTCATAGCTGATCTTTCTCACTGAATGTCGTACTTCAATTATAAAACGTATTTCCCAGCCTTATACTGGCAAATGCTCTCCAGTCAGAAAGAGTATTCTTACGATACTATGATCAAGAATCCTAATTCCTTTACTTATGTGAATAGTTACTTAAGCTGGGGAGAAAATCCTAAAGGCAGTGAAACAATATGCAAACACTGTAATTGTTGAAATAAAATTCAACAATGTACTCTAAGTCAGTAGATATTTACCTCCAGTAACAAATTATACACGAAGTATGATATCTATAAATTCTATTTTTATGTATACACAGTATGAGGCATCTTTATATGTATATATACGTTGTACAACAAACAGTAGAAAGCAGATTCACAAAAGTGTAGCTAAATCTTGTATACCAAGCGAAATATAAAGTTTTCAGTAACATAATAACACTGGATGATCCGTAACGTGTAGAGTCACGTGATGTAGAGTCACATTTCTGCAGAATGTGTCAATGACTTGTTTATTTCAATAGTAACATATACCTATAGAAAACAAAAATAGAAACTGCACCGATATCCATACACTTCTTTCCCTTTCCATTCTCATTTAGTATTATTATTTGCCTTTATAAAATAATTAAAAGTGGGACATTAAGCTCAGCTACAGGCATCTTGGGTAACATAGCTGTAATAGCCAGAAAACTTGAACATCACTATCTAAATATATAGTCCCAAAATAATCCTCTGACACTTCATGAAAATCAATATGCATAGAAACACACAGGGACTTAAATTTAGGTGCAATGTAGATTTTTGGAAGAGACTGTTGATATAATTTTTCAATGTCTCCCTTTCTGTATGCCCACCTTGAGATATCTTAATTGGGCTTGGTTTCCTGGAAACCCTGAATTGCTGAGCACCCATCACTGAAGGCTACTGTCCTTCCTGGTTTTGGTGGCACACAGATGCGATGAAAGCACCACATCCCTACCTAAAAGGGACACGCTACTTCAGTCTTTAGCAGACTGGGTCATAGTCAGAGCACGATCCTCTTCACTGTCCAAGGAATAGTGTATTTAAGGAAGAGAGACAGCATTTAGAACCAATACCATCAACAGAAATGCGCTATGTAAAAAGCTTTATTTTATTTTATTTTTGAAATCGTATACTGGGAGTTGACAACTATTCATGCCAATGAATCACTTTCAATGCCCTTAAACCAGCACCAAAGACTTTTCATAATGGAAATCTAATAAACATTGGACACCATCAGATATGGCTTCTTTTCTCCCTATACCACAATCATGGCAGGCATTTCTTACCTGTGAGTTTGCAGAGTGCTGCTTGCCTATCTGCAAAGAAGCTGAAGATACCTGTCTCCCCTTTGCCTATCTTGTGTAAGTGCCCTTACACATTCTGCTGAAGCCAACAGCAACGGGCACTAAGCTGCTGTGATTTGTGTGGACTACTTGGGAGACTTCTGAACTTCATAATGCAGACAAGACTTAATAAGGCACGATGGCTCTGTCTTCAGGAAATGAGAGGCTTTGCCTTGAGGTAGGACAATGCTTGCTTTCTGTCCAGGGACAGGACCAGTAGCAGTTCCTGGACAGCAGTCTCTGCTGGAGAATATGATCTACTGCCAGTTCACCATGCATTCACTGCTCGGGAAAACCCTCACCATTATTTCAGCATGTGTCTTTATCACTCTGAAAATACAGTTTGCCTTTCAAGATGGGAATGGAAGCTGATGACAGTGCTGATCTATATTTAAACCTGAAGCATTCTCCCACACCTTTTGCAGTGGAAGCACAAGTCAGTGCAAACCCGACAAGACACGGCAGTATAACAGAGCCTGGGGTGCCCACACCAGCAAACTCTCAGTCAAAACCTTTCAAAATACCTGACATGCACAATTTCATATACACAAGAGCAGGAAAGAGAGATCTATTAGTAAAAGTGGAAAAATCCTTATGACTTCTAAAATCTGGAGATGGAGATTATGGTACCACCTTTTTAGAAATCTGTATATTTTTTAACAGGAGCTCAAGCCTTAAAAAGAAAAGAAAATAAATGGAAAAAGGAAAATAAAAGGGAAAAAAAAAAGGAAAACTTGAAAATATTTTACCACCCTCTAGTGGCAGAATGTGAGATGGACAAGAACAGAAAAAGATTTAAAGTGTGTACATCTATTTTCTTCAGCAATCGACAAGAAATTTTCAAAAATATGTTATTTTCTATCATGCTGAAACATACTAGGTATTATAAGACACAATATGAAGAGAAAAATCACTGATTTTAGTATAAAACACAATAGGAAGACAAAACTCACTGATTTAATTTTTACAGCCACTAGCGTAGAATGCTTCTTACCATGAATTTGAACTTCTTAAGAAAATTTTTTTGAGATATCATTGAACAATGGGGTATTGAAGATATTTTGAATTTTTCATTCAGTATTAATCAGTGACACTAACACAAATTTTTAAACTCCATTTTATAAAAATCATGTTCAGCTAAGTATATCGTATTTTAGGAGCAACACAATGTTCAAGTTAATTTTTTATCAGCTTTACATATTCTACTGATTTCAAAACTCGCTAAAATATTTCAGATCTTAGAAATTTAAAATATGTTTAAGAGTAAAAAATAAAATACATATAAATAACATGTCAAAACACAGAACAAATATATAAGCATACATAACCTCACTGAATGTCTGCAAATCTTTCTGTCCCATCCCTAGTTTAGGTAATGGATTCCTAGCAAGTCTGCTAGGCTATCAACTTTTAGCGTGATCTTGAGATATTTAATCAGTTGTTAGAGTGGTTGGTTGGTTTTTTTCCTAACTTTTTTTTTTTTTAAATATGTAGATAGATGGGAGCCTCAAAGACATAATCTGATTTAACTTGAAAGGCTGGAAACACTGGACTACACTGATGTAAATTAACTGACCCAGCACACCCGCCATCAAAGCATCTCCATGTGCGCCAACATTGCATCCTCATGCCAATGCTCAGTCAGAAGGTTCCAGGGAAAGATTTTTCAAAGTGTTAATAACTGAAATGCATGCTGATCTTAGCAAATACTTCCCATAAATCACTGATACCACACAATTTTTAGCCGACCTTTAATTATTTTTAACATGGCCCCTCTAACAATTAAAATTTATCCATGCTAATTCTTCATCAGAGCTATGTCACTGCTAGGGTGACATAGCCATGGAGTTAGCAAATTTGCATCAGACTGTTTTGGATCTTCTATGAAAATTAGAGATCTCTTCAAATGCCTTTTCAAGTAGAAGTAAAATAAAACAATGTATTATGCCCCTCCCAGCATCCCTAAATGCACCAACTCTTCACTAGAATAGCAGACACTGAAATACTGAGGAACATGGGGAAAACACCCAGCAGTACAGATCTCTGAAGACATACTATAGTGTGCTGCACAAACATCTGTGCAGCTCTGCTGGAAAGCAACCTAAATCCTAAAAACTTGACTTCTGCAGAACCAGGTCAGGTGTCTGAAAAATAACAGACGAAGCCCATGAAGCTTTGCAGAGTGCTAAGCAGTACAGTACAGACGGAATGGTCTTTGTGGTGCTATTGCAGCTTAGTTTATGGTCCAAGAGAAAACATCTGGCTAGAACTGGAGCTGCCTTCGTGCTACTGGTGTCCAGAAATACACACAACACACAGACATTTGAGATAGCCTTGCATAAAACCTATTTTTCCTGCAGAGTATATTAATTTCTCATTCAGCTGTGCAAAAACATCAATATCATTTTCAACTCAGGCTGTGAAATGGCCAAGAAAACAAGCCTTCACTTCTCTGGGAAAGACCGCACTTCCTTTCCTCAAAATGCTCCGATGCCCCTGCTTCGAGGGATATTCCACTATCGCTCTCCTTCTGTTGAGACATATGACTACAAACCTGCTCTTCTCACAAGCAGATAAATGTTTCCTCTCAATCACAGTAAACTATGTCTGTCAGCTGCTCATTTCCTCATGGTAGTTCACTATATACTTTGTATTGAATTGCATTTTTGCATGAAATTTTCTTGCCTTATTTTTAATGGGGAAAAACCCAAACAAAACAAACCACTGAATAACCCAAGGAAAACTATTTGATTACTACGCTCTTGTTTCCATTAGCAGTTGCATTTTACAAATAGCTGAGTAACTATACTGGGGAGCACATCAGCTATCAGGACATACCTGTAAAGAGTTGACAAAGTCAGATCTTCTGAGTTTGAACTCCCTCTGAAGCTCTCTGGACTTGGCCGCTCTGCAAAACAAAGGAAAAATTCTCATTTTGCATCTCTGTTACACTCTGCTCTTCCTCCAATCACTCCTGCACTTCTGTGCCCGGGCCACTGCTCCCTCACAAGTAGCCTACTGTCATTCCTGACCATCACATTTCCTCACTTACAAACTGTTCACAACTGATTCACTTCATCATCATTTTTGTCGCCTACAGTATTACCATCACTGTTGTTTCTGCTTCAACTCTATCATTGCAGAAATCTTCTATTTTTATGTCATACTTCCTTACCTTGTTATTGTGCTCCCACCCTCCCTTTTTGGATATTTCTGCCTTTTAACAGAAAATTTTCTTTTAAGGAAATTCAAGTAGATATAATATACTCCTTGGCAAAAAGATACTGAGGAACTCTGAGTGTGTGTACCTTCAAACAGTTTCCAATACAACTACAGAATACTGTACTAATTACCTACCTTGCAGCCAGTAATTACTCCCAGTCTTTAGTTTACTTAAGTCCTTAAAAACTTCCCATTGTTCATATTACATGCAGTGTTAACAGAAAGTTGCCTTTTCAAGCAGTTTCTGAACCAATTTTACCTATGAATTGGTCTTAACTTTTCAATTGAAATTTACTTCTTGGGGGATTCCACCCCGTGTGAAATATTAACCACTGAGTTGCAATTGCTAAAGCTCCTTTATCAAATCCCATGCATTACTGTAATCCAATAATATCACACACAATATTCTACTGCAAGGAAATTACTGTACGTTTGCAGATACTTCTTTTCCAACTCCAGCTACTTGTAAAATGTGGCTACTAACAGAATTGAGAGACCACAGTAATCTTTGGATGTCAGAAATAATTGATCCTTAGTAACTTTATTCCTATTGTAGTCTACACAAAAGATATAACTTTGATTCTGTACAAACAATTTTTCTGCCACATTTTTTGCTCAATCAATTTGTCCTTTTGGAAATGACAACTATCAATTCCACCTGGATAATAAAGATGTGATTGAGGAAAACAAAAATGTCACTACTTTAAATTACAAGAACAGATGATAAACATCAACTCATTATAGATTACTTAAAGCTGGAGTCTAAAGTTACTATGAATTACTTTCTAAATCTAAATGCCAATATTATACTTAGGTTTATTGATTTAGACATATAAACCCATTTACTTTTCTGTGTCAGAGCTTGCTTCTCTTTTGTAAGCAACTGGTTACTAAGGCAAGTATAAGTGGTTTTGGATAATAGAAAGTTTGCCTTAAGTGTCCAGCTTCATTAGTAGGTGACAAAAGCCTGTTTTTTTTCATTTTTTGTGGCATACAATGCACATGGCACTTCAATGCATACCAGACCATTTTATATTTTACGTAATGCTTGAGTCTAAAATTAGATGCTGAAATTCAAATTCAAAACAGCGCTTTGACATAAACAAATAGTAAAGGGACTTAAGAATATGCTTGAAACTAAACAAGTTCATCATTGTATTGGGGCTTCAGAAAGGCCCTCTCTAAATTCAGTTAATTGGACAAGAGTCATTACATCAAAGACAAACCCACACAATAGAGTTCACATTTCTTAGTCAGCCTTTCCCATTCCTTATGTAATTACCCGTTTTACAAAATCTATCGAGAATCATAAGTCTCTAGAAAGACAGTGTCCAACCTACCCCCTTCCACTGATCCCCAATGCCTCTGCTACATGATCCTGGCTACAGAAACGACAATGGTAAAGGGTCTAACAATTCCCTTTTAAAATTTCAGAGATTTTTTTCAGAAGCCCAAAGAAACTATATTACTCTTCTGAAACCCTACAGGCAAAACTTGCCACTAAAAAGCAACATTACCAAAATCTTAAATAATAAGAACTTTAGCAGCAGGTAAAAGGATGAGAAAAAAAAACTGAAAAAACCCAACAATTAATTAATACCTCTTAAGTAAGAGTTATCCTCACCAACAGAGCTCTCCGTACCCAACCCTGGCCTCAGCGCTGACTCCAGTCATGCCCCTCAGCTGAGGGGCTGCTCTGAGCTGCCCCAACACCTGGCAGAGCTGAAGGAGCAACGTGCACACAGGTGATGGCGGGGTTACAAATAACGCCCTTCACAGCTGCGGGGAGGAAGCTTGAGGAGCCTTTATCAGGGTGATATTCGGCGCAGGTGTTGGACTCGGGTTGGAACTGCAGGGGCTGCCCCCGTGAGGGGAGGGCGGGGCTGCCCCCGTGAGGGAAGGGTGGGGTTGCTCTCGTGAGGGGAGGGGAGGGCAGGGCTGGGCTGTCCGCGAGGGAAGGGCGGGGTTGCCCTCGTGAGGGA